GTGAGATGGATTGACTCAGTGACTGGAGTAAGGGGGATAGGTGTGTCAGAGACAATAAAGTTGGCTCAGGATAGAGCAGGGTTCAGAGCTGTTGGACATAGAGTCGCTGTGAGTTGCAAGCAACTCGATGGCATGTAACAACAACAACAACTCCTATTCATATGAAAGTTGAACAATGACTTAGTCAACCAAGAAAGATCAATCCCTGGAGAAGAACATTATACTTAATTAAGAGTTTCCGTGAAAAAGAAGACTCCGAGAGAGAGGGACTGACAGAGGGGCGGCAACAAGGAGTTCAAGCACAACAGCAGTTGTGTGGCTGGTGGAGCTCCAGACCTTGTTTCATTCAGTTGTACCTGGGGTTGGTTTGTATCTATATACCATAGAGAGAAACTCTTGGAACAGACTTAAAGGTATATAACCATGACAGTAGCTTTCACGGACGTTCATTGTGAATCTAGGTTAAATGAAATTCTGTAAAGGTTCCAGCCGAGAAAAGCCTGTGGAACACTTCTAGTCTGTCACACTTGGGATCCCCATGAGTTACAATAAGTTCTCCAGTAACGTCTTAAGGGTTCACTATGTAAGGTCTGTTATGGAAAAGGATTTATTTTTATTTACTGTTATATCTTTTACACAAAATACTGTACATGGCACTTTATACTGTCACCAGATATTTGAGAAATAGTCTCATCAATGTAAGATGATATTGTTCCTATTTTCATAATCTACTTAGACACCAAAAGGAATTATAAACATAACAATCTAGGATATTTAGAAATTCTGTCTTGACAGTAGAAGATAATGTGTGATAATTTTATGATCAATAAAAGCACACTAATTATTAACTTAAAATATGCTTAGTAGTAGAATGACATGTCTTTTGGAACCCTGATCTTATCATAAAAGGTATACTGATCCTTTTGTATTAGATTTTTTTCCTCAAGGCCATTAAAATGCCCACTCACTCTTTCATTACCAAAAATTCAGAATCAACCCATTGCTATCTCTCCATTAGGTTTCTGAAGATGTATATAGTGTGGGAGGAGATTTTCCATCTTTCTCCCAAGGAGTTGTAGGTGAATTTAAACTTCCAGAAAGGTGTGACCCTTGGGTTGGCAGCACAATTCCCTATGGACTAAAGCAGTATTGTTATTATGTGCTGTTGAATCTACTCCAATTCATAGCAATCCTATGTACAACAACTCTGAACCCTCCTCTATCTTGATCCAATTTCATTGTCGCTGACACACCTACCTCTGTTACCCTAGTCTCTGAGTCAATCCATCTCATCCAGGATATTCCTCTTTCTTTACTGTCCCTCCACCTTTCCAAGCATGATGTTCTTCTCCAAAGATTGGTCCCTTCTTGTAACATAGCCAAATTATGTGAGACAGTGCTTCAAAATCCTTCAAAGACATCTATTCTTCTTCTACTATTCATAGTCATTGTCTAGCTCTTTGATGCATAGCAAAGAATTGCAAAGACCATATGCCTTGGATTAGGTGCACCTTAGTCTCTAAACTGACATCATTGTTCTTTAGTACTCTGGAGAGATCTCTTGACAGAAAATTTTCCCAGTGTAATTTGCCTTTTGATTTCCTGGCTGCTGGTACCAAGAGTGTTGATTGTAGAGCCAAACAAGCTGTAACTTTAACAACTTCAATCTCTTCTCCATCTATCATGATGCTGCCAGTCAGCCCAGTGGTAAGAATCTTTGTTTTCTTGATGTTGAGCTTCAATCTATATTGAAAGCTGCAGCCATGGACCTTATGAAGCAACTGCTTCAGGCCCTCCTCAGTTTCAGCAAGCAAAGCTGTGTTATTTGCATACCACAAGTTATTGTCTTCCTCCAATCCTGATGACATATTCCTTATGAAGTTCAGTCTCCAGTTGATCTGTCCTGCATATAGGTTAAAATGGTATGAAGATGGGATGCATCCATGATGTAGACCTGTCCTGATTTTGAACCTTTCAGTGCTTTTTTGCTCTGTTCTGATGACTGCCTCCTGGTCCAAGTATAGGTTTCGCATAAGCACAATCAAGTGTTTGGAGACTCTCATTCTTCTCAGAGTCAGCCACAGTTTGTTGTGATCCACACAATCAAATGCTTTTGCACAATCAATGAAACACAGATAGGCATTCCTCTGGTACTGTCTGCTTTTATCTAAGGTCCATCTAACATTAACTGTAATATCCCTAGTACCACAGCCTCTTCTAAACCCAGCCAGCACTTATGACAGTTATCTGTTGATGTGCTGTCCCAGTCATGTTTGAATAATTTTCAGCAGAATCTTGCTTGCATGTGATATTAATAACATTGTTTGATAATTTCCACATTCTGTCAGATAACTTTTTTTTGAATGGGAATGAATATGGATCTCTTCCAGTATTTATTATGCCAAGAGAACTCCCTAAAATGACTGTACTTATCACAAAGGTTCTTTTTCTTTCAGTGGCATAAAGAGAAATATACAGAATTTTCTCATAATAGGGGCCTTGGTAGCCTAATGACAAGAAGCTGTGATGCAGTCCTGAAGGCATATGTTTCAAATCTATCAGTGCTCCAGCAGAGAAGGATGGGTAATCTCCAGAGCAAATAAATGCCTTTGAAAACCTGCTGGAGGGTCAGTTATGGGTTGGTCTGACCTCTAAAGCACTAATAACAAAAGCAATAGAAAAACCAGAATTACATTCCCATCTGTCCAGTATTCTGCCCTCTATTAAATCTTCCAGACTACAGTAGGATGAAAGACTTTTATGACTAGAAAAATGTTGTTGTTATTGTTATGTGCCGTCGAGTAGTACAATAGCCCTAAACCGTGCTCTATCTTGTGCCAATCTCATTGCCTCTGACACACCCATCCCGATTACCCCAGTCACTGAATCAATCCACCTCATAGAGGGCCTTCCCCTCCTGCGCTGTCCCTCCACTCTACCCAGCATGATGTCCCTCTCTAAAGACCTGTCTCTCCTTACAACATGTCCAAAGTATGTCAGGCGAAGCCCCAGAATCCTTGCCTCCAAGGAGCAGCCTGGTTTAACCCTCTCTAGGATGAATCTGTTTGTTTTCTTGGCAGTCCATGGTACATTCAATACTCTTCTTCAGCACCAGACCTCAAAGGAGTCAATTCTCCTTCTATCCTCCCTAGTCATTGTCCAACTCTCTGATGCATAACAAGTGATTGCAAAAACCATGGCCTGTATCAGGTGCACCTTAGTCTCCAGAGAGACACCATTGCTCTTGAGTACTTTAGAGAGGTCCCTAACCACAGACTTTCCCATTGCAATACGTTTTTTGATTTCTTGGCTACTGGTGCCAAGAGTGTTGACCGTGGAGCCGAGCAAACTGAAGCTGTGAACAATCTCAATCTCTTCTTCACCATCCATCCTGATGCTACCGATTGGTCCAGTGGTGAGAATTTTAGTCTTCTTGACATTGAGCCTCAGTCCATACTGAAGGCTGCAGTCCTTGACCCTCTGCAGTAAGTGCATGAGGTCCTCCTCAGTTTCACTGAGCAAAGTTGTGTCATCTGCATAACGCAGATTGTTGAGAGATCATCCACCAATCCTAACGCCACGCTTCTCCTCATAGAGCTCAGCCTCTCGAATAATTTGCTCTGCATACAGGTTGAAAGGGTATGGAGATAGGACACATCCCTGGCGTAGACCCTTCCCAATTCTGAACCATGCAGTGTTGCCCTGCTCTGTTCTGACGACTGCCTCTTGGTCCAAGTAGGGACATCGAATTGATTTTTATTGTTGTTAATGTCTAAAGAATGATATTTCATATTTTATTAAAGAATAACCTCATATTCAGAGTAATATAGCTGTAGCTAGAAACTTATAAGTTAGATAAAGAAGTTAGACAAATTATTGGCAGGAACTTGTCTAAAATGCAAGTGAACTGCAATGGCATGGGATAAACTCAGTTAAGCTAGTGGTGCGATTGTTCTTTATAACCAGTGCTGGAAGTGATGTGACACTTTTCTCAGGAGAGCAATGAAACCACAGTAATATGGGAAGAATTAGTTTAAAATGCATAGTGATATGGTCTTTCATGTCTCACTGCCGAATGGAGACTGAAGGATGTTAGGTGCGGCTGAGTTGGTTCACACAATGACCCTGTGAACAATAGGACAAAACACTGCCTGGTTCTGAACTAGCCTCACCCTTACTTCCGAATATGAGGTGGGAAACAAAACGAGGTGGGGGGAAAGTACTCAGATAAGTAACTGTGTGCTAGCTTCCAGAAGTTGAGAATAAACAGAATATTACAACTCAGCACTAATTTTTAAAGAGAGTTGTTGCTGTAATATTGTTGTAAGTGTTCCAAAGAATGAAACGTTGCCTGATCCTTTGGTCTACAGAAATTATCATATGCCCTGTGAGATTACAATTATGTTATTAGTTCCGAATCTAAGGTGTTATAAGGAGTAATTAGGAATATGTTGTAGACTGTCACACTCATAAGAAATTTTTTACTGGAGGAAAAAAATCTTAAGCATTTACTGTGGGGAAGTCTCATAAAACTTTTGAAAATCAAGCATTTCAGCCCATGAGGCTTTTGTTTTGGCATGAATAGTAAAAAAAAAAGAAAAAAAAGAAAAAGTTGTTGAGTTTTGAGTGTATATGTTGTGTTTTGTTTTTCCCTTAATTTGACTTTTTTTCCCCCTACATCTTGCCTCTTTCATCTGTGTCTTAATATATTCGTAGAGATAGGAATAAGAAGCTGGACAAACATATTTCAAAAGAATATGCTAAGTTTCTTCTTATATTTTTGTAAAGGAATCAATTCCAAGCTTCAGTATGAAATCATGCCGGGTGCTTCCTCTGGGTTGTTCAAGATCAGTCCTGACACGGGAGAGGTCATGACAGCCACCACACTAGACAGAGAACTTCAGGATGTCTTCACTTTCAGAGGTAAAAAATCCTTTGACTACACTGAAAACAAAACAAAAATGACAACAGGAGGCTGAGTAATTTTTTACTTTAAGTTATTGTTGTGCCCTGTCAAGTTGGAATTGACCCATTCTGTATGACTAAGTTGTTGTTGTTCTATTTGATTGCCATCGAGTTGAACATGACTCATAGCGACCCTATTAACAAAAGACCTGAAGCCTTTCTAGAACTGTCATTTCTCTAAGTTCATAGAGTCTCTAGAGGCGTGTTGTTTATGAAGTGGATGCCATTCCTGCTTCCAGCTAATGGTCTGTATATTTCAGTTATTGCTGTATGAAAGTCAATAGTAGGAAAAATAAGTCCAAGTATCTTTGCTGTAGGGTTTTCTTTTTTATTTGTTTTTTTTTTAACTAACTTAGAATAGTTTACAGGTCTTACTTAAATATATCTTATCTCTTCCATGAGATAAGTCAGCAAATAATTTCTAGTCACTTACTCTTTTCTTAGCTTGAGTTCTTGCCGGTAACTGATATTCTCCAAGTAAGTTTATCTTGGAGACTGCTTGAGCTCTGTCTGCTAGGTGTGGGTTAATACTGTGCATATTGTCAGTTTTTTGCCTAGCAGTACAAATAATTTTATACTTCCTATTAGAAAAACGGCAAAAAGACAAGAAAATGATTAGACTTTTCTATGTTAAGTCAACAATAGTAATCATGTTTTGAAATTTCTCTGTACATCTCAAGGGACCTTAAGTAAAACTTTATCTTTCACATCCTTTTCTTAAAACCACAAATAACTATATGTAAGGTACTGGGTGTTATTTACTCTTAAAGTAAAACTTGATTAATATAATGACTGGGAGATCTGGTGGCCTAGCGAGTAAGGCATTGTGCTGCCAACCCAAAGGCAGGTGGTTTAAATCCACCAGTTGCTCCAAGGGAGGAAGGTGAACACTCACTTTCTGAGCACTCACTGAAGACTGACTAGAGGGTCAGCAATGAGTTACTTCCAGCTGGATGATATATAAGTTTGGTGATATTTGAGGATGTTAGACCAGTATATTCTAGGTGTAAATTAATGGACTCAATCCATGTCATCTGTGTTTTTATGCCAGTCCTTGTGCGAGATGGGGGCATGCCTTCGTTGTCAAGCACTACAACCATTCTCTGCACTGTTGAAGATGAAAATGACCACGCACCAGTGTTTACTACCTCACAGTACCACACTGAAGTTCAAGAAAACCGAGAGCCAGAAGTCATCTATACAGTTTTGGCCTTTGATATGGACGTTGGCAATAATGGAGCTATCAAATATCACATTATTGGTAAATATTTTCATTTTTAAATATCCCTCCTCTATAGCTATCACAGTTTTTAACTACTGGACTTGATTCCTAACTCATGGACATCCCATGCACACTGGGGCAAAAACTCTGCCCAAATCTGCTTTGTCATCATGGTTAGTTATGCTGCAGACCATTGTGATCCACCGAATCTCTATTTGCTGGGTTTTAGAAGTAGAGGTTTTATAGTAAGATAGACTAGTTCAACATCACTACAGCACATAGACCTCCCTGGCTGGTGAGTACTGGTTGTATGTGAGGTGCATTGACCAGGAATCATACTCAAGTCTGTGTGATAGATGAGAATTCTACCTCTGAACCACCGATACATCCTAACATATATCTAGTGTTATTCTGTATTTGGTATCATCTGCATTGTCTATGACATACAAACTCACAAAGATCTAACTGGGGTTATGAATGTTCATATCTACTTTCTTTTCATAGTTACCCTGAACTGATCTCTTCTAAATTTCCTAGAAATCTGCTCTTAGATATCTAGTGATTGCTATAACAGAAATATTAAAAGTGAACACTTAAATAGACAAATTATTTTCTCACATTTGGGAGTCCACGTTCAGGGCACTAGCTTTCCTGAATCAGAGGAAGCTTTTCTTTTACTGTTAAATCTCTGGAAAGGTCCTTGGCTCTTTTCAGCTTCTATTTCTTGCTTTTCTAGTTGATCTTCGTGAATATTGGTGTCAGTCTTCCCCCATCTCTGCTTTTTTTTTAATATGTCAAAAGAGATTGATTTCAAACATACTGTACATTACCATGAAGAAAATCCATTCCTAAATGTAATTATAGCCACAGGTTATAATTATAAGCAACAGTCAGTGACTATAGTGGCATAGTATGGAAATTTGCAACATTTAATTCTGGGGAGCCTGCAATAACCATTCCTCTTTCCACCATGGTAACATCTGTAACTCCAGGAACCTCCGCCACCCAAGTCATGGCATATTCTGCTGGCTTAACTCCATCAAGGCAGTGGGCTCCATTTGTGGAGCCCAGGCTTTGATGAGTGGTTCAAACTCCATGTTGGGCTGTACACTGATGCCACAACTTCTGCAGGAATAAATCTAAGTGGTCTTCTTCCCTCAGGATGTCTGCTACCCAGGGCACTGCCAGGTGTACTATCAAGCTTTGCAAGCAGGTGTTCTGTTTGGTTTAAAGAAAATAGGTTAAGTCTTATGCCCTTAAATCTCTCCATCTTTCCAGTGGCTCACTCATCTTTAATAGTCCACAGCTGCAGCAGCTCTTTCCATTCACTCCGTGGTCACCTCAGCAGCCCATAGCTTCCAGCCGCATGTAGCCGGGGGTGCAGGGTCCTGAGCGCGGTCCAGCTGGTCAAGAACAGGCCTTAGCTGCTCACCAGGCTGCTGTTATCAACCTTGGTGGACTGGGGAGCTTTCTGCAGTCCCAGGCAGCTGCAGTTGAGATTCTTGCAGCTTCAGATGGCTATGGCAGCAGCAGCCGCCCCAACAGCTCAGCTCCATCACTGTGGACATACAGGCAGCCAGCTAAAAAGCCAAATCAAGAGAGGCACGCCAACAACTCCAAAATTCTAAATCTGTACATTATTTCTTTTTCTCTTTGAAAAGACTAGAGCATTGAATCAAAGATTCTGCATTTTTACTTAATTTTGGGTTTGTTTTTTTTTACTTGTCAGTATTTTACATTGTTAAATGTACAGACTTTATATAGAAGTACAACCCTATGGTTTTTAAATAAAACAAAGAACCAAAACAAAACAAAAACTGGTCTGCTACCTGTAGAAAGCTGAAACAGGATCCAAATATCACACCATACACAAAAATCAGAGATCTGGGAGTAAAGTCCCAAACCATAAAGTTCATAAGAGACAAACTGGGACCAAGCCTTTAAGGCCTATTCTGTGATATAAAGAGGCTGGAAAATACAGTCAGAAATGCACAATCTGGAGAGGATAACATTGATGAATAGGACTTTCTAAAGATTAAATCCCTGTGAGCATCATAAACTTTTTCCAATAGGGTGAAAAAACTCCTATTGACTGGGGGAAAAGATTTGGCAATACCACGTCAGACAAGGGTCTCGTTACAAAAGTTTATAGAATACTACTGGGCCTCCAGAAGAAAAGATTTACAAAATGGGCAAGATGCCCAAATTAGAAAATGGGCAAAAGACATGAAAAGATTTTTCACAGAGGAAGACATTCAGATGGCCAACAGACACATGAAAAAATGCTCAAAATCACTGCCAATCAGAGAGATGCAAATCAAAACCTCAATGAGATATCATTTCACCCAAGTAGCAGTGGAAATGTTTAGCAGAGCTGCAAGTAATTAATGTTGGACAGGATGTAGAGAGGTGAGAACTCTCATGCACTGTTGGGGGGGATTGTAAAATGGTAAAACCACTCTGGAAGACAGCTTGGCATTTCCTTAAAAAGCTGAACGTTGAAACTCCATATAACCCAGCTATTCTACTACTAGGAATATATTCCAAGGAAATTAGAACTGAGACACAAAAGGAGAGTTGTACACCAGTGCTCGTAGCAGCATTATTCACCATTGAAAGAATATGAAAGCAGCCTAAAGGTCCAACCACAACCAAATGGGTTGAGAAATTGTGGTATATTCACACAACAGAATACTATGCAGCACTCGGCAACAACTATGTCCAAAAGTACTACACAACTTGAGAGAGACTAGAAAGCATTATGCTGTGTAAACTAACTCAGTCTCTTAAGGACAAATACTGCAGAAGACCATTATTGTAAATACAGGATACTTAGTAGAACATTTATAGGACTCCAAGCAAGAGGGAATGAGAACAGAAGGGTGAGGATGCATAGGGACAAGATCACAGGGTTGGACAATCTGGTGGGTGGACGGGGGGTGGAGGGTAAAGAAAATGGGAAAGATCCAGTGGGGACCCAAAAAGACAGGGTGATGGTGGGCATGGACCAATGATCATTAAGTTTATAAAACATAATGTATGAGAATGGTTATATGAAACACAATGTGAATGAAGAATATTGTGAAATATAATTTATACAAACTTTGTAAGCAAATCAATATAAAATAATTAAAAAAATTCCAAAAACTAAACCTACGTAATTTCAAATGTGATCTCATGCAGAACAGTATATATAAGATACACAAACTAAACTTTTGGAAAATGTCTGCCTTAAAAATTCCCCATCTCAAATCTTCCTTGGAGGAAGTTCCTTTAGCCTCAAGGGCTCTCTAATATCATTAATAGTACATGCAGGTAAAATCTTATTAAAATTATTTAAAAATATCTAGAACATTATCATCAACAGAGAACTGACAGAAATGTAAGCTGGATTCAGAAGAGGCCAGGGCACAAGAGATATCATTGCTGATGTCAGCTGGATCTTGGCTGAACGCAGAGAATACCAGAAAGAAGTTTATTTGTTTTTATTGATTATGCAAATAAATTGACAACGTAGATCATAACAAATTATGGATAGCATTTGAAATGTACAAATAGAGATATATGGTACAAAAGAAAGGAAGATAAAAAGAAAGAAAAAAAGAGGGGAGGAATCCCCTTGGAAAGTCAGGAGAGGACCCAAATCTTCTGGCATGCTGCAAGGAAAAAGAGAACAATGTTCAAGTTGTCACTGCTTGTATTGGCTCCCAGGCCCCCGAGACTGGTCTAGGCCCACTTAAACACCTGTGAGCTTGGGTTCCTAGAGAATGTTTTCTTTCTGGTGTAACCCCCCTTTTTCACTCCTGTCAAATGTACTGTTTGCTTCCCATACTAATTTCTCTGAGAAAGTTTGCTTTTAGCACTGTGTACAGGAGTAGCAAGGCAGGAAAGGGGGAGAGAGACACCAGCCAGGTAACAATTCTATCTCTTGACAACATTGAGAAGAATGGGAATCCCCAAACACTTAACTGTACTCTTGTAAAACCTCTGCCTAGGCCAAGAAGTTGATGTGCAAAAGGAACAAGGGAATGGTTTAAAATCAAGAAAGGGTTTTGTGTCAGGATTACATCCTTTGTCCATACCTATTTCGTCTGTATGCTGAGCAAATCTTTTGAGAAGCTAGACTGTATGAAAAAGAATGTGGCATCCATATCAGAGGGAAACTCACCAAAACCCTGAATTATGCAGATAGTACAATCTTGCTTACTGAAAGCAAGGTAAACTTGAAATGTGTGGTGCAGATCAAAGACCATAGTGTTCAATAGCGATACAACTTAACTTCAAGAAAGTAATAATTCTTACAACTGGACTAATAGCTGGCATTGTAGTAGGCTGAGAAAAGATTGAAGTTGTCAATAATTTAATTTCATCTTACTTGGATCCACGATCAGCACTTTTGACAACAGAACTCAAGAAATTCAAAGATGAGTTGTCTTGGAGAAATCTGCTGTTAAGGACCTCTCCAAAGTCCTAAAGAAGAAAGACATCAGTTTAAAAACTAAGATATACGTGATCCAAGCTTTGGTATTTTCAGTTACTTCCTATGTGTCTGTCAACTGGACAGTGAATAAGAATGACAGAAGAATCAATGTCTTTGAGTTGTGGTACTGAATATCCTACGGACTGTCAAAGAAGTAGTCTTAAAGCAAGTCCTCTAAGGAGCAGAGTGCACCTTACAGGCAAGGGTGGTCAAACTTTGTCTCATATACTTTGGACATATTGCCAGGATGGGTCAGTCTTTGCAAAAGGACATCGTAATGGTCTAGGTGGAGGTTCAATGTATGAAAGGAAGACCTCCATCCAACAAGATGAATTGACACAATGACTGTAAAAATGGCCTTGAGCATAATGGAGATGGTGAGGATAGACCAGAATAGGGCAAGATTCAGATCCCTTGTTCATGGGTCACTATGAGTCAGTTGACTAGATGACATTGGACAGCAGCAGCAGCAACAACAGAAACATATCCATGGTAATGACAGGTGGTCTAAACACTCTCTAATCCTTGTCCTACATGAGAATCATGAATCCGACCCCAT